AAAAATAAAAGATAGAGTCAGTGCAGCCCAAGAAAAGTAAGATTAAATATGATCCAGTGAGATCATAAACATCTGAGAAACTGAAGGTGTCCAAACTGCAGAACTAGAAAGAAGTAGAAAACCATTGTGCATTTGCGCATTCATAATCTAACAAACAATGAACTCTGCCTTTCAACTTTCTTTGCGCCCCTTTTTTATAGCCTGGCTTTATATAGCAATGCAATCATAATTATGTGCCATGACCTCTGAACTCAGTCAGAGGTCAACAATAAGTTATTATTGTTCAGTAATAAATTCATGAAAGAGGATTCAGGTGTTTTCGTCTCTTGTTTTTTTTAAATCAGACATATGCTTTCTGTACATATGTGAAGCTGATGTTCTAATATAGCTGTCTAATCCTCATTCTTTAAGCTGGAAAAGAGTAGAGCCAAGTGATATGAGCTCATCTTGCATCAGTAGCTGGAGCTGTAGAAAGGATACTATCAGCAGGACTGTAGGTAGGGTAGTCTCCATTTGCTGGGTTATGGGTAGGAAAATCTCAATTTTGTTAGGAGCGCTAGGTAAAATATTCTCCATTATCTGGAACTGTAAGTAGGATGGTATCCATCATGCTAGGATCCTCAGAAGTTGGAAGCAATCATGTACTGCTTCACTATAACCAATCAGTCAGAAAAAAAAAAAAAAACCTAAATTTGGAAAGAGCAGATCTCAGAGTTCAGTTGATATGACTGTTCAATGAAGAACAGGAATTTGTATTTGGAACCACTTATACTGTATATTAAAATAGATGAAAATATGAGGTGAACCAGAGCCTTGATTCTTTCTCAAAATACAGCTTTTCTTTTAGAACAGTTTGGAGAGGAAGAATTGTTTATGAAATTCTTTTGGATTCAGTATTACTAGATGTTAAAGCAATATTATTGTCTCTCTTAACATTGTCTGAAATATTGTGTTGCTGACAAAGGCAAGTAATAATCCACTCTCACTTTCCAATCCCCTGAGAAGTCTTCTTAGAATGCCTTCTAGCAACATGCATACATCAGTATAACAGATAGCAAATTACTAACCATCTTGTACTAGTACTCCTTAGCAAAAATTTTGAGCAGTATATTGCAAGTGCAGATATTTCTGTAACCATGATGCAAGATTTTGAAGTGTTTAGTGATGCTAGAAGGAAAGTTATTTCATTGCAGGCAGAGTATTTTATTCTTGAAGAGGAGCCACGATGAACATTTTGAAGCAGCTAATTCTTTGTGGTAGGGGCTGTGACATGTAAAGCTGTATGTTCAGAAGATATCTATCATCTCCCCACAGATGCTAGTACCATCAGCCAGTTGTCACAGTCAGACCTTTCTTGAGATGTTGCCAAAGGAATTTTGAAAAGCAAAATCCTCGTGACTTTAAAACCACAGATCTAAAATCCAAATGTGCGCATTATTCTCCAGAAAGGAAAGAAAAATCTTCCATGAACCTCCGTTGAGTGTTGCTGATTTGTTATGCTCTCCCTTTCAATGAATTAAATTCTCTTATGCCTGAATTAGCTTGACCAATTTCATTAGCAATCTCACATTCACTAATCCCATTAATTTACTGAGTGTCAAAGAATGCCCCTTGGCCTGGAGTTTCTACCCACACCACACTTGCCCTAAGGACAGCCACCTGAAAGTAGGATTCTTTCGCTGCTCTTGGCTAAGAAGCAAGACTTTCTTTCTGAAAGTTTCCAAAAGCTCTCTGAACTGCTGAAACTCAATAGAAAAAAGGTGCAGTAAAACAAAGTACAGCATTCTTCTGCATTTCTTTTTTTATCTAAAAGAACATAGATCCAGTTACGGTTGTAGGGTTTGGTTTTTTTTTATAGTTGTGTGTGTCTGGTAACATTTTGTAAGTGCATGTATAGGAAGAATAATGTATTACAATAAACCTATAGCAAACAACTTATCAGATGATAAATCACAACTCCTTTCCAAGACTAACAAAGCAACCTCACCAGGTTACTGCATTAACAAACAAAAACAAAAACAAAAACAAAAAATGGTGATGGATAGGAGATCTCAGCCCAGAAGAGATTTTCATCTTGTGTGCCATATCATAGAAAGAGAAGAAAACTCAGATATTGCTGTACTTTAAGCCTGCCCATATAGTTCATCATGTTGCTATGATCAATATCATCAAAAAGGCTTTATTGGGGTTATTAATATGACTTATTGATATTTCTTTTTATCATAATTTGAGGCCCCAATTCAGGTTACTAAATTGAAAATGTTTAGAAGTACTAGATTTAAGGGGTGCTTGTTCCCATCACTTGCATCTCATATAGTATATCGGCATACAGAATTTTCCTTAGATTATTTCTTACTAAAAATTGAGAATGTCACTGCTCTAATTTAGAACCATGATGCAATTTTCATTCAATATTTTTTGAAAACAGAATGAGTTATGTGTAGCAAAGTTCTCGCTGGATGCATATAGTTATTTCTCCATTGAAAATAAAACAGCCTCCAGAAATAGAAAGGAGAGAGGCCACAAAAACACATACATCTGCATGCATAAACACACACATACATATTCACACATAGGCACACATATATACACCTTCATAAAGGTTACTCTTTTATATTATTTTATGCCTGCATTAATTTATTATTTCAACTCAATTTTGTTTACTTACCACATGATATATTTTAATTAAAACACTCAATGATATATAAATTAGAAATTATTATATATATTTATCCTGTTTGACATGATTTTTTAATTAAATTATTTATTTTACTATCCCAACTGCAGTTTCTCCACCCTCCTCTCTTCCCATTCCCTCCCCCACTTCCCCTGAACCCCACTCCCTCCATCAATTCCTCCTCTGTTTCTATTCAGAAAAGGACAGGCCTCCCATGGGTATCAGCAAAGTAGGTATAGCAATCGCAGTAGGACTAAACAACTCGCCTTTCATTTAGGCTTGGCAAAGCAACCCTATATGAGGGATAGGTTCCCAAAAGCTAGCACAACAATTAGGGACAACCCCTGCTTTCACTGTTAGGAGTCCTACAAGTAGATCAAGCTACACAACTGTAGCTCACATGCAGAGGGCCTAGGTCAGTCCTATCCAGGCTCCTTGGTTGTTGATTCAGACTCTGTGAGCACCTCTGAGCCCGGATTATTTGATTCTGTGAGTTTTCTTGTGATGTGTTTGACCTGCTCTAGCTCCTAAATCCTCCCTCTCTTCAGCAGGATTCCAAAAGTTCAACACAATGTTTTTTAAATTTTGCATATTTTGAAGTTGATAAACTGAGTAGTTAATATACTTTACCTACCTATGCTTTCTTGGTGAGAGATCTGTTTCCTTCATTTTCAAGACTATGCCTTTTTGCACTTCAAGATAATACCCTAAACCTTTACTTATTGGAAAGATTTATTGGAAACTGTGTGTGTGTGTATGTGTGTGTACATGTCCATCTACATATGAAGGAAAACTAATGTTTCAGACTATTCAAAGGTTCTAAATATGGTCAGAATTGTAGTGTAGACTTTCTTGCCTTTGAACAATGAAGAATTCCTGTGCATTAGTGCAAGATGGCTTCTGAGGAGATTGTGAGAGTGTTCCGAAATATATTGTTTAAAGAATGTTGAAATTGGGTATGTGGGGTCAGTATTGTCTTAAGATTTAGTATTTTTCAGAAATACATATATATAATTATATGTTGGAGGAATCTACACAGGATGACCAGACAGAAGCCTTATCATTCAAGTCGGTGAATTCATTTCTCTACCAGCTTCAGGATATACAGGTTGTGCTGTAGATTCACATTGGTTGGTCATTTGTTAAACGTTCACAGTTATGGATTTTATTATGTTAGAATTTTTACCTTAGAGACGTTGTGATTTTATTGTTGCAAACTGACTTTCTTATAATAGTCCATTATACTTTGTACTGATAGAATTCTTTAAAATGAAACAAAAACAGTAGCTAAAGCACTATGGTAATGATCCCCATCCTTCTCTTGCAGCTTATTATATATATGAAGCCCAGATATTTCTGTCACTTATTGCCAGAGAAAAATGTACTCAGGTCTTCTCATTGTAAGCTTTTGCAGAAACCAGAAAAGTGCATTATTAAATATTAAACCAGATCTTAACTTGAAGCTATTCTTTTCTAGGATCAGTGATAACATAAGATGGAAACTTGATCATTTATAACATTGGCATTGGTCTTCAGACATACAATTCTCTTTGTCTATATATAAATTAAAACAACTTCTCATGACACACAGAAGAGTTGTAAGTCATAAATATCTAGGAAAGGCAACTGGTAACACTGAAGAGTTAAACAGAACACTAGTCATTCAAAAATCACTGCAGTCAGAAAAATATGTTCTTTTTTAAGAACACCCACTTTAAGTTAATACAGAGCTATGATCCACCATGAAATAAAGCTGGAAGTATGATATCGAGGGATGAATATTTTTACTCGGTGTCTTCAAAGCTTTTTCCTGGGATATTATTGCCTTAAAATTTAACGTTAAAATTAAGTTCTATGTATTTGCTCTATCTTGATGAGCTGCTCATATGCCTTCAGGCACTGCTCCAGAACCTCTAGCATATATAGATGTTAAATTGTGTTGCTCTATGATTGGAGGTATAAATTTCATTGTATTCAAATGTATCTCGGGTAGCATAGGAAGGGACTCTAAGCATCCACAATACCACATTTACAGGTTATTCTCATAAAATTTATTTTGCCATTTATTAGTGTGTAGGTATTTGATGTTGTCTTGGGGAGCATGGCACAGATGTGTAGGTGAAAGGATAACTTTGTGGAGTCAATTCTTGTCTTCTATCTTTACAAGAGTTCCAGGGAATGAACTCAGCCTTCCAAGTTTGTGCTATACGCTTGCTTACCATCTGGGCTTTCTTGCTGACCCTGTGTGCTAGGATTCTCAACAAATGATCTGAAATGATAATGGTGGTAAAATTTCTTTTTGTTTTTTTGTTTTCTTTCACAGGATTATACACTTACCATGTATTTCCAGCAGTCTTGGAAAGACAAGAGGCTTTCATATTCTGGAATCCCATTAAACCTGACCCTTGACAACAGGGTAGCTGACCAACTCTGGGTACCAGACACCTACTTTCTCAATGACAAGAAATCATTTGTGCATGGGGTCACAGTGAAAAATCGAATGATAAGGCTGCATCCTGATGGAACTGTCCTCTATGGACTACGGTAAACACTTTCCTATTTCCTTGCTTTATGTCATTGGTTTGTTTCCTAGTTTTAAAAATGGACAGAAGGGAGAGAAGCAAGGAAGAAAGCGGCTTACATGCATAGTTAACATATCTTTGGCCAGAAAAATCTTGGGGTCCGTTTGAACTCAATGTAGGTAACTTTGCCCATAAAGGGTAAGTGAGAAGTTTAGTTAAACTAGAGTTTAGTTTATTAGGGTATCGTTTATTGAAGAAGAATTTTCCTCTTTGTATTGTGCTGATAACATTGATAAAATATACAGGTTTTTTAAAATACACTAAGCTATGTCCCACTGTTCTATTTATTTAATTCTTCACAGGGTCATTCTCTTAATTCAGCTAACTCTAAGCGAAGCCATAGCGAAGTCATGAAGGCAAAGTGTGTATGTCTTTTAATCTTATATTTATATTTCAAGTTTTACATTCTTCATAATGTTGCTATAAATTTTAGAACCAGCTTGTCTCATCTGCCACATAAAGCCCCTAATTCTATTATGGAGAATTGCTGAGTCAATTGGTTAGTTTGGGTATAATTAACATCATAAAATTATAAAGTTTTACAACTCTTGAATATGATACATCTTCATTTCTTTGGGCTATCAGTCTCATATCAGTTCCTTTCTGTATCACAGTGTGCTATTGTGTTTATGACTTAAGTAAAAAGGTAATATTGTTTTTGGCATAGGTCAGCAATGTTTTACACCATAATGGTTTTTCATTTTATTTTTCTTGGTTACTAAGTCATAAAGAAGTTTGAAACGTATATAGATGTCTATTATTATTTGGTGTATAATTAAAAGCTTAATAATTAAAATATTAAAGTATATTTCAAAATTTACTTCTACTTTTACCAAAACTGTAACTAAAGTGTGACTTGTTTAAAGCTTTGGTCTCACCTTGGTAAGTCCTTTTAGAGGCAAAGGGTTAGAAAAAGTGATAGACTTTATCACCAGTGGTTTGTTGGGGAATAAAAATATAGATATATGTTTGGTAACAATGAAGGTCAAAGTCCCAGTTTAGAGTTTCACTTCGGGCATTTTAGAAATTATCGGCGGCATCTAACAATGGGAATTACATCACTAAAAACAACACTGGAGAAGTATGGAGTTGAGCACACATCGGTTTGCAGTTTGAAATGCTGTGCTCTGCTACAACTGCTGTGCTTGTGTGTTCACAGCAGACACAATCAAGTCAGCTTTAAAAAAAGAACTGTAACATATAGAGGAGAGAGAATCTTTAGACCTTACCCCTGGCTTCTTACCCTGGTGACTTCTGAAGAAAGGAAAGTCACTTTTCTTGGGAAGGATGGCCACCAGTAGAGTTCCTAAACCTCAGTGGATGATGGCATACCCATATAAATCTATATAAAAGTTTAAACGAGGATGTGCAATTGGAAGGAAGATGTGATGGGCGGGTCTTAGGGGAATTAGGAAGGCATGTGAGGGAATGATATGATGAAGATGCATTGTATAAATGTATTACACTTTCAACTAACAAATAAAAAAGAGAAAATTGAGACACAAAAGGCCTAGGGTTTGTCTAAGGCCACCGAGAAGCAGTGGCTGATTTAGGATCAAAGTTCAGGTATCCTCTCCCTCAAATCTTAGTTTATCAGTTCTATTCTCATTCAAATATACCTTAGTAGTAAATATTTCCTTCCAAGTTATACAACACTGCTTTTTACTCTTCAGAAACAAGCCAAGTTTGTGTAGATTTTAGCTTGTGTACAGACAAAGTGAGCATATAAAGAGAAACACAAACTAGGCATCCATTGCATAAATGCCAATCTCTTTATGGAGCACTTTTTCTCCTTACGGGACTCATCTGTGCTCTACTATATCCCCTTTCTTCTTTTCTGCTCTTTCTTCTTCTTTGATGTTTCTTTCACCAGAAGCTGTTATCACCCTAAAGACCAAAAGTACAATAGAGACTGTGTGATATCTGAAACTAGAGGATAGAAGTTGGACCTGACTCTCACAACTTTCTGATTGCTTGACCTTGAAAAAAGTATACAAATTTCGTGAGCATAAGTGTTATCATCTACAGTGAGGGCTTAATACACCCTAACTTATTATTGAGAAGATATTAAAAAATGATTAATTTGAGATCGAGTACATAGAGTGTTCTGAGTCATAGTTCTCTAAATTGTGCTTCATCAGATATTGGAAACTTCTCTGCTGATTGGCTCTCTAGTTCCTGAAGCTGCTAATAATTAGAACACAGATGCAGTTGTCCAATTAAGAAAACATTCAATTGAGTGCTCCGTGTGTATATCTATTTACTATTCTGATCCTGAGAATAGTTTTCCAGAAGTCAAGGGGGCTTCTTGCTGTGGCAGAGCAAGCAGCATCTGGACCGAAGAGCCCAGGGACTCTCAGCCAAGGGTCTCCTAGGCAGCCATTCCCACTCCTTGGGTTTCCATCACACTTCATTTATCATCCTATCTTTAATCCTCTTCACTTTAATTCCTCAGATGTAAGATTTCCTAGTTGTAAAAATGAAGATCTGCCTGTTCCTCATAAAAGCCTTTCAAAAGAATAGCTGTCATTTATCATTCTTAAGCACACAAAGCAGAACTTCCTTGTCATATAACATATGCTTTGGCATCTCTAGGACTGTAAAGTACTTACTTTAGACATGAGTAATTGAAAAAATGATACTGATGGCTTTATCCATTTTCATAAGTCCAATTAATAGTCATTGTGAATGGGCCCATACATTAACGAGTAATTTTAACAGTGATTGGATTGATGTGGCCAAAGCCCCTCTAGTCAACTTTACCCTGACCATAAAACAGCATTTTTAAATTAAATAGAATTTTCTGTATTCAAATGCAATATGAGATGCTATTTTTAAGTTATACGAAATTACAAGATGTTTTGAAACTATTCTAAGTCAGATTTTACAGTTCTCTTCCCTGTAATAACAAAATGGCATCCATTATAGAATAATACTGAGTAATTAGGCTACTGTACAACAGGTCTCTAGCACACCAATCCTTATGCCTTTTGCTCTTGAGGGACCTCTACTGTGACAAAATGCATTATTTTAAAGGAAAACCCTGCCACCACTATTATATCTTCAGCCATGAGACTCATATCTGCTAAAGGCTGGCAAAATCATTTATTTTCTTAGCAAGTCCCTCAATATCACATATCAAGTCCTTAAGATTTCCCTTCCTAGCCAGACGGTGGTGGTGCACACGTATAATCCCAATACTCAGGATGCAGAGGCAGGAAGATATCTGTGAGTTTGAGACCAGCCTGGGCTACAGAGTGAATACCAGGATAGGCTCCAAAACTACCCTGAGAAGCTCTATCTAGATAAAGAAAGAAAGAAAGAAAGAAAGAAAGAAAGAAAGAAAGAAACAAAGAAACAAAGAAAGAAACAAAGAAAGAAAGAGAGAAATTTCTCTTCCTTTCATCCTTCTTTGCATTGCATTTTTTTCTAAGAAAATCTTCCCCTTTCTTTCTAGGCTAATGTGTTAACAATGTAAAGTAATCTAAGCTTACTATTGTATCGTCTCCAGACTCCGCATTTTGTTTTGCTTACATCTTCATACCTTTGTCCTTATTGATTTCTTAACCATGATTATCTCTTTGAGTTCCACTCTTCGCACAACCTTGGTTTCCTCTCCCTCATCACTACTCACGCCACAGTCCTCATCAGCAGTGGTCCTACCCATGCTATTGCTTCAGCAGCTCTACCTATAGCTACCAAAGCCATCACGCACTCTCTGCTTGACTTCTTTCAACGACTTCATGATGGCCAGTTCTACTTGAGGGCATATCTTTTGTCTCTCATGTGTGCTGTAGCAGTCATTCCAGCTGCTAACTGAATTGAACAACAGTAAGTTGTAACTTAGATAATGAAACCCAATATAGATAAGTTCAACAGAACCGCCATATACGGACTTCACCATTGCCATGGCATAAATTTCAATTTCCTTTTCAAGTATCTAAAACCCCCAAAGTAGCAAGTTTCACGTTAAGTTTTGTAAATGGGTACCCAGTATCTGAACCTGAATTCTCTGCCTTTGTACTTGACATGCTACTGGTTTCGTGTCATTTGTTATTCTTCCAAATCAACATTCTCTCTTGTTCCAGATGATTGAAAAACCATCAGCATCCTGGTAAATCCACACAAACTTCCAGACATCCCCATACCTGAGACCTAATTTGGTGATTCTAACCTATGCTGTTTAACCTTCTTTCCTGCTTCCAAACCATTTCTTCCATCTAATTTAACAGCTTCACCCACTATCTATCACTCCATGGTAAATTTTCTTGCTCAGTTTTTATACTTATTTATCACACCACGGTCATTGGTATTTTTCCTGCTATAAGTCCCTCCCCCGCCAAATCAGTGACTTCAAATTCTCTATCTCGTCTCTCTCTGAAATCCATGAGCCTCTAGTTGCTTTTTTAAATTCCTCTAAGAGATTTCCAATTAAACTACTGTACTGAATATTGAAAAAAAATGTCTTCTGGAAATTGTAATTTAATGGGGCAGCATATATGCACATTACTGCAGCTCTACTGCTTTATTGAAAGCCCCTCCACTTGTGTAGATGGATGGCACCTCCTCTTCTTCACAAAGCCTCACTCTGTCTGTCTGTGTCCACTTTTCCCCCTTTCACACAGGCGTCAATGTTCCCCCATGGCAACTCTTTCCCATTTTCCTTCTTTGTATTGAAATCCCCTCTAAATTTTTTCCCTGATGAAAATCACATTATCCCTAGCCCAGAAGAAAACTCTCATTTCATAGAGATCACAATTTAATCTCACAAAGACCCCTGGGTTTGCAACTCTTTTATGACACTTTCACTTTTGGTGTCTTGGATCTGATTACTTTTTATGTAAAGATTTTTTTAAAAAAATGTGTAATTATGGAAAATATACACTGTATTTCCCTAATCTCTTTCCAACTGAATGATTGCCCAGTAAATGTTTGTAAGAGCAACGTTAATATGTGCAGAGT